GAGCTGGGAGCAGTAATAGACCAGGTGGCTGCGGCCTTGTGGGACCAGGTAAGAATACGTTTAATTCTAAGTCAATTCATCACACAGATTTAGATGTTGGGGAGAATACCGTGAGCTGGGAGCAGTAATAGACCAGGTGGCTGCGGCCTTGTGGGACGAGGTAAGAATACGTTTAATTCTAAGTCAATTCATCACACAGAGTTAGATGTTGGGGACATACAGATGAACATAACTTATGCCCCAGTCTTCAAGAACTTCACAATCTGCCAAGATGGCAAAATACAAACAACTAACTGTGTATGTTAAGTTTTTCACAATTGTTTTCCAGTTAACATTTTAATGGTTTTTAAGTAGTGTTTTTACTTTTTCTTAACCTATAAATGTTAAAGCTGTTAAAATAAATGAGGAAACGGTTGAGTTTTTATTTAGCTGATTGCGTTAACAATATTTCATATGGACAACCTATCACTTAACTAACATTGGCTTTCTTAGCATATATGAGCCATTATTATAATTCATTCTATCATCATCTCTGATTACTTCAGATTGTCTCTATTTGAGCTACACTGATGCATCAGGCCATAGCACTAACCAATGGTCAACTTCTTGATAAGCTGCTCATGGGTCAGGTGTCCCTTCTGGTCTAATTAGTCATATCCTAGGGAGCCAAGATCATCACAGTCCATTATCCAAGTAACATTATAGATAGGGAGACAATTATAAACACACATAGAACAATGATCAGCTCACTATGTCATTCTGGAGATGTCTTCAATTATCTCATGAGAATTTAGGGGAATTTAGTGAAGCTAAAGTTGAGATTCTTCATAAAATTTTGGAGATTAGACTTTTGAACTTTTATGGTCTGCAGGTAGCAAATAATAGTTATAATTCTCTCAGCATTAAGACTATACTTAAATATGTTCTTTATCATAGAATTATAACTAATAGATTTATTTACCTTGTGCCTTTGAAGAGTCTAGTTGGTGGTACTATGGGAAAAGAAGGAAGTAGAAATTTGATCCTCTGAGTCACTGTCTTAAATAGCCCCTCAAGAGGTGGAGGAGGGGCTATTTGAAGTCAATCCCAAAACCTTCCTAGAACATGCTGCTGCAACCTATGAGAAATATGGAATTGGGTTCTTCAAGAAATTCTGATAAAATATGTAATCTAAGCTGAAAAACCTGTAGAAATATTTGTTCTTAAATACCCACAAATCAATGTTGTAAACAAAGTTGAATACTGTAATGCTATTAATGAAGCAGGATATATATATTCTTTTTCTTCCTTTTTAAACTGCCTTTGCCACAGGGAAGTACAAATGAGGTAAGTTAATTTTTTTTTAATTAAGAGCTACATATTAAAAAATTTTATGATATTCTTACTTTATAAATTGATTAGCCATTAAAAGATGTCTTAATGTAGATTAGAAAATCTTTAGTGACACTCCTCCTGTGTTCTTCCAGCATTTAAAAATTTAATTGTGAATTTTTAACATATTTTTAAATTAAGATTTAATTTATCCCATATACCATACATGATTTGATCTGCACATGAAACACAAGAACTGATACCATGCTTCTCTGTAAGTTATCTGTCTTGTTCTTGAGTGTAGAGAAAATTTCAAAATTCTTAAGCTCTGGCATGGTGCCTGGTATTCTGCTGAGTTAAGTAAGTAGTTATGAACCTTGAGGCAACTTAACTACTGCAGAGCATTTAAATGAAGCTGTAAGCTTTAGAGAGGTCAGCAGAGGTTCAGTGGTAGAATTCTCACCTTCCATGAGGAAGACTTTGGTTCAATTCCTGGCCAATGCTCCTCAAGCCCAGCCATCACTTGTCACTGGAGGCTTGCAGAGCTTCTAGACTAAGATGGACTAGGAAGAAAAGCCCGGTGATCTACTTCTGAAAATCAGACAATGAAAACCCTACGGATCATAAAGGTCCGATCTTGTGCTTGGGGTTGCCATGAGTTAAGGGTAACTCAACAACAGCTAACAACATAAGCTTTAGAAGTTTTGAACTTTGGGTTTGAGTGAGTTACCTATATCACTTTAAGCAGGTCCCAGGCCAGTATGCATTATGGCATACGTCAGACCGGGCCTGTGAATCAGTGTTCATTTCTCCTACTGCACATATGCAAAACTATATATCTGAGGATAGAATGTGAGCTTCAGCAAAGAAATCACTTGTTATACTAAAAAGGAAGATCTTGTGGAGCCATTATCTTCAAGAAGCAAAGTTGATCTAGAACAACTACTGAGACAGCACCTAATTCTTTCCTCAGTTTCTACTATCACATGTAACTTGCATTATGTCCTCTAATCAAAAATCAATAATACATTTAACATTTACAAGTCAATACAGAGTTACTTTACATAAAATTCAGATATGCTTAGATTATAAAGTAAAAACAAATTTCAACTTTGTAAATCAAACCTTAAGAAAAAAATCTAAACTTCACGCATTCATAGAACTAGATGGTATCATTCAGACTTAATGCTTTAACTTCAGGAAAAAAAAAATTGCCATAGAGGCTCACAAAAGATAAAAATTAATGGAATTTCCTACATCTAAAGGCTATCCCTGGTGGCTTAGTGGTTAAAGTGCTCAGCTACCAACTAAAAGGGTGGCAGTTCGAACCACCAGCTGCTCCCTGGGAGAAAGATATGGCAGTCTGCCTCCATGAAGATTTACAGCCTTGGAAACCCTACGGGGTACTTCGGCTCTGTCCTGTAGGATCGCTATCAGTCGGAATTGACTCGACAGCAGTGGGTTTGGTTTTTTTGCTAAAGGATATCAAGCTTTTAAAAATATTCAAAGACAACTCCATCTTTACTGAGTGTTTCAGTTATGTGAAAAAGTCAGAAGAGGGGATGACTCTTAGACACTAGCTGAGAGGGGAAAATTAAGAACATAAAAATATGGGTACTTGTATAAAACAATATGTATTACATAAAAATTCCTATGATTCCAACACTGTTAAAGAGACACACAGAGCAATCACAGAGGTAGCTTTAATGAGGAAAGGCATTCTAAAGAAATGTTTCTGAATCAGGTTTTGTATGATATGAACTAATGGTAATGAGGCAAAACAGCATGTAAAGTGAGGGTATAGGGTGGCAGGGTGAGGGGCAGCATACTTGCTTAGTTAGCTACATGACTGTCTCAGAAAACAATGGAGAATAAAAGCAGTCTCACTCTGGAGAACCTACTGAAAAAGCCCTGAGCAAGTGGGCTAGCTATGTATAATAAAGTAGCTACTGGCAGTCAGAAGTTATGAGCTCTTATAATTCCTCTAAAATGCAGAATATTTACAGTAGGAGTTCTCAACACTCCCCTGAGGCATACTGGCTGGGAAGTTCTGCCCTAAGTCATATGCTAAGTAAAAAGAAACAGTCTGAGAATAAAACATTGACCATGAAGATCTATCCACAAAAGTGGTAATGTACATACTGGAGAGCTGAAATAAGAAATCAGTTATTAATTTATATCTTATGTAGATTAATGAGACAGATTGCAAATTTAGCATGCTAAAATTTATACAATATACTAATTAAAGCTGGAAAAATTTTACATCCGTGTGTTTAACAAAATGTATCATAATCTTGATTCTTGTACTTCTAGGCTTTATACAAACTTTACAGTGCAGCAGCAACTCACAGACATCTGTATCATCATGGTTTTCCTGCACCAAAGTCAGAATCTACTGAAGAACCAGAAAAGAAGAAAATGTAATCCAAATTTTAAAAAATATAGGTGCATGACCAATTGTCAGTTAAATATTAAGTTTTGTATCTCCCTGCAAACATTCAAAATACTTCCATCAGAAGAGAGTAAAATATCAAACACCTCTGAAGACTGCATAATGGTTTAGTTGACTTTTACTTCAGTGTTTAATAAGCAGATGTTATGTATGCATGGTTATATGATTTTGTTAACAGGTACAGTTTCCTGACTTTGTCTTCAAATATGCTGTTATAAGTTAAAGTATTTGTCTATTTATGATGACAGTACATGTGTTCTGCTTGAATTGACTAAATACTACTACTGGGTTATAACTAAACCATGTAGTGACATTACTCCACGTTTGGATATGCTCATTTAATTTCTACAGAAGAATTTAAAAATTATTTCATACGGCCATTTGTTAAAGCATACACCATAACCCAGCAAGCTTGATTCAATCTGTATCATTTTACATACACCATGAGCTCTTAGTTATTTTAAAATACATTTAAACAAGGTTGTTCATTTGTCAAAAATTACATATTGCTTCTGTTACATTATGATTTAAAACAGAACGTAAACTTCTTGATCAAAAATGCACAAAAAATCACTTTGTATATGTATTCGAGTTTCACTGCATTGTATATTTTTTCATTTGATACATAAAAATGTATTCTTCATAGGTTTATTCTTTTAACATGTGAACTATTATTAAAGTTTTCTTTGGTTGCTAAGATTAAAAACAAATGCTTACTGAATTTGGAAATGTACGGGAGGTGTTGATATAGAATGATGAGATGGTTTTTGTCTCTCTCTTTTTAAATTCAAAATGCTTTTTTTTTTAATGTTGACACCATCACAAAGTTAAATTTCCATTTAAGGAGCACATGCTAATCCCTTTAGGTACCTACCAGTTCTTTTAAACCAGTGATTCTATATTGTATCTCTAATGATAAAATATCTAATGAAGTTTCACTGATCAGACCTTTTAAAGAAAAAAAAAAGTGGTAACGGAAAAAGAAGTAGCAAGGCATCTTATCTGGGAAGTCCACAACAGTAATTTCTAACTTTCCTAGAAACGGCTATGCCTTAATTAACTGGTAATATGAAGAAAGGAGTAATATAGGAAAGAATAAGATAGGAGAGTGTTTGAGAGTTCATTCATAAACTATATAAGCTTATAGCTTAGAAAAGCTTGGTCACAAGCCCAGCAAAATATCTTTTCCCACTGATAAAATTCCTCTAGCCATTTTTTTCTTCATTTTTAATACCCTTTTCATTATGTTGCTTCCTTTGCCTATGGGCCTTCTAAACAGAAAAATTAAATATTTATAGCACTGTATCTAAAACATGGACTCAAACACCAGACAGACGTTTAGCTTCAACAAAAATATATTTAATAAGCTTGTTATATAAAAATCAAACACAACATTTTCAACACTTTATCAATAATTCAAACTCACAAATACCTAACTGGGAGTGCTTTGTATTTCTGACTACCTAAACTAAAAATATATTTACATATTTACAACACAAGTAAATAAAACTGAAGAGCTACTTCAACTGAGGTTAAAATTCACTGAATTCTAGAGATTTATAGGCTATAAATGCCATAAATTTGTCTGCAATCAAATGGATTGCACTATAATTAGGAACAACATCTGGACAACTATTAAACCAAAAGGAAAAAAAGCTGGGAGGGAAACATACAGTTTTAAAGTTCTCTGACAAACTCTTAGAAGATAGAAAAGTAATGCAAAATCAATTTAATGAACAAGATTTCTTATTGAATCCCTGATTGTCATTTTTGGCAGCTTAACCCAGTCTGTCAGAGTGGCCGTGCTTTGTGGGGTCAGGATCCCTCCACTATCTCATGAGTGCCATGCTAAATGCAGTTAAGAGCCCTGGTTGAAAGTTAGTTAGCAACTCTAAGCACCTCACACACCTTCCCCACGTGGGCTAGAGAGCCTTATGTCTAAATTTAGTCCTGAAAAGATTACAGGCCCTCCACCGTTTCACACCAAAAAATATTTTCTCAACACACTTTAAAATGCTTCTTTACTTTTTTGGGAGGTGGGGGTGGAGGGACCTATACATCATATATCGAAATTTATCACAATAAGGCCCCAAATCCTACTCTGTTTTGAACTGCACCATGCTAATGTTTGAACCATCCCATTCCAGATAATACTCCACACTGAAGCAGTAAATATCTTATTTTAGATACTGCATAGATTCTGTCTTTTTTAAAAAGAAAGGTATTGCTACTGTAAGAGATCTCTTTTAAAAAAAAGAAAGGTACTTCGAGTTCAAGAGATTACCAAGTAATCTTTCCTAGTTAATATCTGGTTAATTGACAATTCTTGCTGCATTTGTTTCCATCAAAAATATTCAAAGCAGTTTCCTAATTTGGAAGTGTTTGCAATGTTGGCTCTTAGAATGATATTCATTTTTTTTTTTTTTTGTAGAATATTTCTTAATAACAAGATACATGTAAAAATTAGAACTTTATAATTTCTAAAAAGCTGCCTTTATTAAACAAAGTTCTTGTGTGCAGTTTTTTATCTGTGAAAATATTTTAAAGCCATTATAAAACTTAAATTTTTATTTAAAAAAAAATTAACTTAAAAATTCTTGCCATGTTGGTGGGCATACCACTGCTGTCTATGCTTGCGGTTGTCCAGCTCTGCGAGAAGAGCGTATCTGTAGGCTTCATACATTTTAACAATCTGTTCCAGTTCTTTCATGAAGAGCAACTTTAGCATTCCCTGGTATGTGTCTAGGTCGGCCAGCTGGAAGAGTTCCCACTTTAGAATGTGGTCATATCTGTTTTAAAACACAGTCATAAATATGTTCAAAACACATACAATCGTCTATTTTTATAAACATCAACTTCACTATAACTTAACAAATCATAAACTTTAATTAAAAATAACTGAATTATTAACTCTTATTTAAATAGAGTATACTATTTGTTAGGGAGAGGGAAAAACTGCTAATATTACTTCATTTCAATTTAAGTTAAAAAATACCCTTTTCTTTTAATCTTAAGTATCAGTTATTCTGGAGCCCTGGTGGTACAGTGGTTAAGAGCTTCAAGGATCGTCAGTTCAAATCACCAGCTGCTCCCCGAAAACCCTATAGGGCAGTTCTACCCTGTCCTATAAGGTCACTATGAGTTGGGATTGACTTGATGGCAATGGGTTTTTGGATCAGTTATACTAATATTAACACTAGACAACTATTAACACAGATTTCAAAACACAGTGGGCCCTATAATTTTGAAGAATACATTCTATGTTAGTCATCAGTTAATCTGAAGTTAATTATCAGGAATTAAGAATACTTTTGACCACACTGTGCTTATAAATGATAATGTGCAAAAATGTACAAAGTCATCTGTGTTGATAGAGCTTTTTGAGCTGAAGTTCACTACAGCAAACAAGGAATTAAACAGAATAGGGCTGAGTATTCCTGAGGTTGGGTATATAGTTATTAAAAAAATAAAAACAAAACTCAGAAAAGAATATGATCTTTCAAAATCAGAGAACAAATAGACTGCAGAAGACTACACAGTGTGGGGAAGGACTCACACAAGATTATATTTACATATATCCCAGAAGGTCTTTAGTCCTTCTTCAATGGTAAGCAGATCACATGCTGAGATAGAAGTATGCAATCAACTATTAAATGAATCAATAGAGACCTGAAGACAGCACTCTAATCCCATTTTTTAATTTTACAGATGAAAAAACTGAAACTTAAAGAAGCTATAAAACCTAAAAATGCAAAGCATTCAGTGGCCAAAACTTCAGAAAGGCAGGGAACTATGGACCAAGATGCTTTAGAGTAGTGATTCTGAATGTTAATACCCATTAAGACTAGACAAAGATCTTGAACTATAGTAAAGCATGTACCCATATGACACTGAAGTTATACTTCTCAAATCATATTGCAGAACACACATAACGGGAAACTTTGACTGTAAATTCTAGTAGATTTATTTTTAATAATTATAATAATTATTTATATTATTTATAATATCTCCTACCCAATGTTCCTTTGCTGTTTAGTAATTCATTTACCATCTTATTTCAGAAGGATCATCTATCTAATGTAAAAAAAAGGTTTTAAAAAAGGGAAACACAAAACATACTGAGCAGCTAGTATGAGCCACATACTATGTTATGTGTACCAGGACCCTCAGGAACACAATATGCAAAGAGCCAAAACCACAAGGTAAACATATTTCCTTGGACTCTCAATTTTACCATTTCACTGTTTAATAAGTACTGCAAATTTACTAATAGATAACACTTGGTAGAAAGTTTTATGTTCTCTTTAGGGGGAGACAGAAACTATGTGCCAATATAAATTCAAAGGATCATACAAGAAATACTCAATAAGCATCACTGAAGAAACAGTTGTAAGGTGTTCCCTAAAACCTCTGTCACTCATGTAGCTATTTTTCTACCTATTAATGTTCCAGCCCCTTTCAAGTTCCTTCCAGTAAAGGACAATCTCCACCGCAACGGCTAAGCAGTTGGCTGCTAACCAAAAGGCTGGTGGTTCAAAGCCACCAGTTCCGATGGAGAAAGATACGGTAGTCCAGCAGTCTGCTTCTGTAAAGATTTACAGCCTTGGAAGCCCTATGGGGCAGTTCTACTCTGTCCTACAGGGTCACTATGAGTTGGAATTGACTCGACGGCAATGGGTTTGGTTTTGGGTATCAAAGAATTTAGCGTAAAGAATGGGACTGTAGGTAAAAGCAACAGAATCAGAATAATTAGAGCAGATCCTTTGGGAAGAAGGAAAACCACTCTATGGAAGTTCACAGATGCAAAAAGTATGCAGTGTCTATTTTCAATCCAAACTCCTTCCCCTGTTGTTTCTACATAGTTACTTCCCTTCTGTCTATAATAAATCTTAATATGCCTGCCTTTTTGGGAGAAGAATACAACTCCCATTCCTTTCTTTTTAACTAGTCAAGAAATATGCTTACCCAAGTTTAACTTTTGCCATTTATACTCTACATACACGGGTGAATCATTCACAAAATAGACTGTAACCCACTCCAGTAGTCTTGTGCTTATAGCATCTCTTTTTGCTGTTTTCCCTACGGCAGTATTCTACTTATAAAAGACCCATACATGCAAACAGCAAATGCTGTAATGCTACCAAAAAAACCTGTCCATGCCCCAGTGGATGCTGCCTTCAGGAGACAAAGGTGCGGCAATCCCCAGATCCAGGTACCATAATACAGCCTAAGTCCCTCCCTATCCTCCAATCACTATGCCTTCTCTTCCTTCCTCTCTACCTACACCCAGTGAGCTGGGTCAGTGGTCATATTGTGGGATTGCCAAGCTATAGGCATAAAAAAGCCTTTCCCACAATATTGTTGGGATTGGTGTGTGTGTGTGTGTTGAGGCGGGGGAGGGGGTGTATGAGAAATAATAGAAAGTAAATATATTCTTGATGATCTTTTTCCTGTTAAAGATTTACATTTTATAATTTTATCTAATAGTTCAGCTTGATTACTTATATCATGCATTACAGACTTTCGTGAGCAAACTTAGAAACATAACTTTATAAAAATTAAATAAAATCTTAGAACAATCTATTTTAAGTTAGGCTCTAACTAGAAGTATATGCAAAAACTGCATTGGTAAGTTACTCCTAGAGATAAAATTGAAGAATTTTGGAAGTTAGAAGTTTCTCAATTGTTTGGAAAGCAAAAGGAAAAAAACAAGCTAATTTTTGGCTAAAACTTGTCTTTTTGATAAGTAATTGATTCTTCATTACCTAATTTGTAGCTGACAGCTCACACTTTGTTGATAGTACAATATTAACTATTTCCATCCTCTCCACAGATACAAATTTCGGTCGACGAAAAGCAACAGGTTTCCAGTTTATGGCTTAAGTTTTTAAGCAGTAAAGCAGTACTTGCTCTTTTTTTTTAATCTGGCTCATTCTGGGAGAGTTCCCACCTCTAAGATAAGACTAAGCTCCAACATCCAAGAAGACTAAGCTGCTAGTTTCCATAAGCTCCACAGTTAGCTCAGAGAACCACAGAGTTGGAAAAAACTATAATTTTTAGGAGTCTGTTTCTTTTCCTAAGAAATCAGAAGTTCCATTTAAGTAAGTACTAACTTTTTCCCCCAAAAGGAAAGCTTACTAGGTTATTTCTTTTTAACAGTGACTACAGAGCAGAAATAATATAAAGTAAAAAGAATAACCCTCTTCTCTCTTACCAGCCCCCAGAAATAACAACAATGTTAACAGTTGGGCACATATTCTTCCAGACTTATAGAAAAATATAAACACATAAACATATTACACACGATTTAGGATCACCATAGGTATACAAAGGCGCTCAGGTGACGCGAGCAATTTGCAATTGGCTGCTAACCTAAAGGCTGGCAATTCAAACCCACCTGAATTGTGATATAATTTCTTCAAATAAAACGTTATTTTGTTGTTGTTAGTTGCCAATGAGTTGGCTCCAACTCATGGTGACCTTATGTATAACAGAATAAAATGCTGGCCAGTCTTGTGCCATCTTCATAATTACTGGTATGCTTGAGTCCACTGTTGTGGCTATTGTGTCAATCCATTTCACTGAGGGTTTCCCTCTTTTTCGCTAACCCTCTACTTTATCAAACATGATGTCCTTTATTAAGAGAAAACATGGTGCTGCTTGGGTTAAGCAGCCCAGGAACTCCATTGGCCCTCCATTCACCCCTCAACAAAATGTTCTGCTATAAATTCACTTACTTCACAGGGGCTCGAGCATAAACCTGAAGCCAGTCAGGAATTTCTGCGGTATGATATGGATTTGCAGGTACCAGAAGGGATTGATTTCTTTCAGTTTGCTGTGGTTGGTATGTGACAGGAGGAGGCTGATCATACCGAGGTACACTAAGAAGAAAGAATTGACATTCACTAGGATAAACAAGAAATTATAATGAACAAATAATCTTTAAGCTTGTTTCAATGTGCCTCCTGTCCCAGTTTACCCCTTTCCTCCACACAAAGACAACCTCCTGAAGGTTATGACTACATTCTATAAGGAAGTAAAATACGCCTTCTGTTGGAAACTGGTAGGTCCCTAGTGACAGATATAAACACAAGCTAAACCTTTACATGTTTTTATGAGATTTCTTCTGGCTAATATTTCTTCTTTTCAAGGACAGCTTCAAAGGAGGCTATAAAAAATTTGGGGCTCAACGGTAACCTTTACCACAAAGGCTTAAAACTAGTGTTATAAAAGTTCAGTTAATAATTAGTAATTAGCTCTCAATTCATACTGGAATGGCTGACAGTTTCTCTCTTAAAAGGAGAATGGATGTTTTCCTCCTCCTTTAGACTAGAAAGGTGGGTGGGGATAGGCAGTACAGTATGGGTGAGTATTGTGCTTAAAATACCCACGTTAACTATAATATTTCCTTTCTACTTTGGACCATGCAGACCTCTGTCACCTGGGACAGAAAAACCTAACCACACATTTGGTTGTTTGGAAGAAATGACAATCTCAGTTATTCACTAAACACTGATTAAGTACCACAAAATGAAATCACTAGGAAGAATCTGCTTTTAAAGTTGAAATCAGCAGATACAAGTATGTAACATGATTAAAGCAGCACAATAAAAATAAAGCTTAGTTTTCTAAGTGATAATATTAAAATGTACTTTCATAATGATTGTAATGGTTCTAAAAGCTACAACTTGTGTAACTAAAGGTCTGTATTATGTCAGATGATACTAACCAACACCTATCAACATGCCGATGATATTTTACCCATTTTAATCTTACGGCTCAGCTCTTAAAGCTCAAATGTAGTTCAAATTTGCAATATTTACAACTTTGCTACCAATACTAGCTTTTTTTGTACTTTGAAATGTGGTGTGTGTTTTACATTTACAGCACATGTCAACTTGGACTAATCACTTTTTGAGTGCTCAACAGCCACATGTGGCAACTGGCTACAGTATTAGACGGCACAAGGCTGGAAGTCTGGTCACTAACTAGATCTACTGATAAGCCCAGTATTTAACAAAATAGCCCAAAGGATCACTGGCTACATTTATTACAGATCTGGGATCTTTGTCCACTCCCAATTTTTGCTTTCTTATCTGGCAACAGTAAGAAATAAAACATAAAATTATGTCTGCTACTGAATAAAAACAGCAAGACATTATAATTCAAAAGCATTTTTTGACCTATTAGGGGGTAGGTCTGTATCATTTATAGGAATTTAAATATGAATGGGCAGATGTTTTATTTTATTTCAATTTCTGGTTATCTACAGCAAAAACATTCTGGCATATTAAAGAATCTGAGCATAAGAACAATGATCTTGTTTTTGAGGTTGTTTAAAATTTTTTTTTCCTAAAAATTGCTAAAGTCATACACTACTAAGTCCAGAGGAAAATGTCATACATAAACTTTGAACAATAAGATTTTCAAATCTCAAGCTTCAAGATGTCTTTTTCTTTGATGAAAATATCTCAGTCCAAAATCTAACATTAGACAATCTCAAAACAAAAAGTTGAAAATAAAATTTATACTCTACCTAGGAGCACAGGGATGCCTGTATTGAGCCTTCTTATTTATGTGATCTACATAGTAAGTTCCAAATTCTGATGACTCAACTCGTTCCCACCCTGGAGGAAGCCCCTCCCGCTCAAGAGGGTGGCTCCAATGAGTTGTATTTGTGTTATGATCTATATAATATTTTCTCCCTCTCATTGTCCAGTCCACAGACCAGCCAGGAGGAAGGGGTAAATCTTCAGAATTATGGTTAGTTAAATTTCCTAAAGATGTAGCAGCAACTCTCCCGATGCCTGAGGAGAAAGGAAAAAAAAAAAAAAAGAAATATGTCACCATGAATAAAGCATAGCCAGTATTACTATTATTTAATTACAAAAAGAGAAGGACCTAGTCTTTAAAATGCATTTTTTCTTTTCTACTTTTTTGGTTGATACCTCCACTACCAGGCCATACAATGTTTAACTAGTAACAAAGCTACTAAAGTATATATACTGCCAGAGGAAAAGAAAATTTCACCTCATTTACCTACAAGATTTAAGATATGACATTTCATCTAAAAAAAACAAAAAATGAGCATGTAAAACTATTCCAGGTTTATAATTTCTTAAAAATATGTGGCTGTCCAAGAGACAAAAGCGCCATATAAACCTGAGACAAAAGGGCCACATAAACCAGAGACTCCATCAGCCTGAGACCAGAAGAACCAGATGGTGCCTGGCTACCACCAATGACCGTCCTGACAGGGAACACAAGAGTGTCCCTAACGGAGCAGGAAAAAAGGGGGGTGCAGAACTGAAATTCACATAAAAAGACCAGACTTAACGTTCTGAGACTAGAGGAATCCTAGAAGACAAGGCCCCTGGACTCTCTGTTAACCCAGAACTAAAACCATTCCCAAAGCCAACTCTTCAGACAAAGATTAGATTGGACTATAAAACATAAAATACTTGTGAAGAGTGTGCTTCTAAGTTCAAGTAGATACACGAGACTAAATGGACAGCTCCTGTCCGGAGGCAGGATGAGAAGGCAGAAACGAACAGGAGCTGGTTGAATGGACACACGAAACCTGGGGTGGAAAGGGGGAGTGTGCTGCCACATTATAGGGATTGCAACCAGGGTTACATAACAATATGTGTATAAATTTTTGTAAGAGAAATTAACTTGAGCTGTAAACTTTCACCTAAGGCACAATAAATAAATTTTAAAAAAGAATGTGGCTGTGCTCTAGAGTTATTAAGCAGCAAGGTACAAGGTCAACATACAAAAATCAAATTATCTATATATTAACAGTCAATAATTGGAAACAAATTATTGAAATAATGCCATTTATAATAATTCCAGAAAAATAAAATATGTATATGTGCAGGATCCGTATGCTGAAAACTCTGAAACACGGGTGAAAAAGAAACGAAAAATGACCCATCATGTTAATGGATTGGAAGACTCAACATAGTTGTCAACTGTCCCCAAAATTATCTTCAAGTTAATGTAATCCCAATCAAAATCCCAGCAGGCTCTTCTGTAGGTACAGACACATATAGACAAGCAAGGAGTCCTGGTGGCGCAACGGTTCGAACTCACCAGTGGCACCTTGAGAAAAAAGACCTGGCAATCTGTTCCCGTAAAGATTACAGTCTACAAAACCCTATGGGGCAGTTCTACTCTGTCAGATAGGGTCACTATGAGTCAGAATCGACTCATCAGCACACAACAACAACATAGACAAGTAGACTCTAAAATGCATATGGAAGGGCAAAGGAACTAGAGTAGCCAAAATAATTTTGAAAAAGAACAAAGTTGGAGGACTCATACTACCTGATTTTAAGACTTACTATAAAGCTACAGTAGTCAAGACAGTGTGGTAATGGCAAAAGGATAGACAAAGAGATCAGTGGAATAGAACAGAGTCCAAAAATAAACCCACATATACTTGGTCAACTAATTTTTGACAAAGGTGATAATGGAAAAGTAAAAATGGAGAAAGGGTATTTTTTTCAACAAATAGTGTTGGAACAGTTAGACATCCATATGCAAAAGAATTTAATCACTATCTATACCAAAAGGTGGAAACAATCCAAATGTCCATCAACAGATGAATGGATAGACAAAATGTGGTACCTACATACAATGGAATTATTACTCAGCCACAAAGAGAAATGAAGTCCTGATACATGCTATAACATGGATAACCTTGAAAGCATTATGCTGAGTGAAATAAATAAGTCAGTCACAAAAGGACAAATATTGTATGATCTCACTTACATGAAATAGGCAAATGTTTGCAGACCAAAGCTTATTAGTATTTAAAAAGGGGTGGGAGGGAGGGGGAAAGGGAGTCATTGCTTAGGGGGCACTGAGTTTCTGTTAACAGTGGTGGAATAATTTAGAAAAAGATGGTAATGGCTGCATAATATAATGAATATAATCAATGTCACTGAATTGTACATGTAAAAATTGTTGAACTGGCAAATGTTTTGATATATTTTTTTTACCACAAAAAAAAAAAAAAAAAGAACAGTAAAGGTAGAAATGAAGGGGGAAAAAAAGAGGCAAAAAGGTTCAAAATTTATTAGAAAGAACATTCCAGAAAAATGTTGCCCCAGAGCACAGAAAAAATGCAACTAAACATTCTGCCATAAATGAAAAGAAAAAAAAGAATGAAGCAACCAACTCTCTGAAGGAAAACCACGAAGCTGACAAGCAAGAACCTGAAAGATGAGATGGTAAGACAACAGAGATAATAGGTATGCACAGGAAAAATATAAAAATGAAGTGAAAAACTAGAAGGTGCGTAAGGAAGAAGTGACATGCAGAAAATGCAGTAATGGGTGCAGGGGATAAAATAGAGAAAAGTGAACAAAATAAATGGAAAGAGAATTAAAAAGGATTCAAGCAAAACTGATAGGAAAGACAAGGAAAGAAAACCTATTTAGATACATGATTAGAGTCCTCAAAGAAGAAAGGCAAAGTAATACTATCAAATAAATATTTAAAGATTTAATCCAAGAAAGCTTTCCTGAAATATGGTATTCAGAGATAACCTAAATATACATATTTGAAAAGGCATACCACCCTGGTTAAAAAAACCAGTAGTTATCACCAGATATATTTTAGTACAGTTACTGGACTTCAAAGATAGAAGAATCCTTTGGGCAGCTGAAAAAAAGGTCAAGTTACAAATGAGGAGGGGAAATCAAACAGGCATCAGATTTCTCCATAGCAACATTCAATTATAGAATATAGTAGAGAGCACCTGTAAGATCTTCAAGGGGAAAAAAAAGGGCGACCCAATGTTTTTCTGTAACAGCCAAACTCCCATTCAGGGAGGAGTTTTAAACATATGAGAACTCAGAGAAAAAAAGGGCGACCCAATGTTTTTTTATAGCAGCCAAACTCTCTTTCAGGGAGCAGTTTTAAACAGATGAGAACTCAGGGAAAATTGTTCGCATTAGTCCTTCTTAAGAATGCTATTATAATACATACATCAGTCAATCAAGAGATGAGTAGGGAAACTACAACAAATGAACGGATAGTAAGCAACAAATATTTAACTGTAGAATCAAAACAAAAGTGGGGTTTTAGAGTAATGGACCCAAAACCCCAAAACCCACTGCTGTCGAGTCGATTTTGACTTATAACAACCCTACAGGACAGAGTAGAGCTGCCCTATAGAGTTTCCAAGGCTAAGTCTTTACAGAAGCAGACTGCTACATCTTTCTCCTGTAGAGTGGCTGGTGGGTTTGAACTACCAACCTTTTGGTTAGCAGCTGAGTGCTTTAACCACTGCAGCACAAGGGCTCCTTAGAGTAATGGAACAAAATGTAAATTGTATATTCCCTGACAATGAAGAAACTTGATAGAAGGAGAAATGAAGGCAAGAGGTAAAGTTCATTGACTGTCTCCTACGTAACATCTGGGAGTCAAATGGCTGCACAACTTGAAGAATGTGATCAATGTCACTGAATCGTACATGCAGAAATTGTTGAATTGGCATGTTTTGTTGTGTATATTTTCACCACAATAAAAATCTCTAATCATCTTCACTTAATATATCCTGGGTATTGCCTTGGAATAATATCCAGGGTATATTAAATGAAAAAAGTAAAATACAGAACAGTCTGAAGAGTATATTACCTTGTATACACAGATGTGGTGGTGGTGGCTGTTGAGTGTGTACTCATTTCCGACTCACAGCAACTCCAAATGACAGAGCAGAACTGTCCCATAGAGTTTTCTTGGCTATGATCTTTATGGAAGCAGACTGCCAGGTCTTTATCCTGTGGAGCCGCTGGGTGGGTTTGAACTGCCAACCTTTTGGTTAGCAGCCAAGCGCTTATCTGTTGTGCCACCAGGGCTCCTTTATAGATGTGGTAGCCAGCCTCTAAGGTGTCCCTGGCTCCCAATGATCCCTGCTTCCTAGCATTCACACCCTCGTTTGACACCCTATGTCTGTGTGACTAAAGGTTTATGGCAGAAATGATGGTATGTCACTTTTGAGATTAGGTTATAAAAGAGACTGTATCTTCTGTCCCAGCTGTGCTCACTTACTTGCTCTTTCTTGGACTATTCATTCTCCAGGAAACATGCTGCCATGTTGTAAGAAGCCCGTGTGGTGGGGAACTGAGATCTCCAGCTAACAGTCAACAAAGAACTGAAGCCTCCTTCTAAGAGCCCCACGAGTACGTTTAGAAGCAGATCCTTTAGTCCCACAACCCCAATGAAGCCTTCAGATGACTGCAGCCTGGCTGGCATCTGGACTGCAACTTCATGAGAGACCATGAGTTAGAACCATCCAGCTAAGCTGCTTCTGAATTCCAAACTCACAGTAACTGAGATAATGTGCTCACTTCGTGTCTCTTATGTCACATTTTGGTAATTCTCACAATATTTCAAACTTTTTCATTATTATTATATCTGTTATGGTGATCTGTGATCAGTCATCTTTGATGTAAATATTTTAATTGTTTTGAGGTACCACAAACTGCACCCATATAAGACAGCTAACTTAATTGATAAATGTTGTGTGTGTTCTGACTGCTCCACCAACCGGCCATTTCCCCGTCTCTCTCTCCTCGGGCCTTCCTATTCCTGCAGGCAGGACAATACTGAAATTAAGTCAATTAATAACCTTAATAGCTCTGAGTGTTCAAGTGAAAGGAAGAGTCACATGTATCTTACTTTAAACTGAAAGCTAGAAATGATTAAACTTAGTGAGGAAGGGTAGCCCTGGTAGCGCAGAGGTTAAGCATTTGACTGCTAACTAAAAGGCTGGCAGTTGGAATCCACCAGCTGC